CCCAGCCCCGAGGACTCCCTGCTTTTTGGGGGGGCGGGGGGGTGGAACCGCCCGGATCCTCTCTCCTCTCCCAAAGCCTGGCCTGTGCCGACATGGTGCCCCCCACCACCATCAAAACCAGCATCCCGGCGCCCGCGCCAAGAGGAGCCGCCATGCGCCGAAACCCTCACCGGCGGAAGAGGAGCCGGGCGGCGGGAGGGGAGAGCAACGGAGCTGGCGCTTTCGGAAGCGAGAGCCGGGGCGGGGGGGCCGTATCTGGACCAACGTCCGTTCTCTCTTTATTTTTCCTTTATTTTCCTTTTTTTTTTCCTCCCTTCCCCTTTCCAGATTTTTTTTTTTTTCTCCTCCAGTTTTTTTTGGGATGCAAACTGCTAAACTCCGGGCGCCCGAACTGGAACCTGCACCCAAGCCAGCACAAAGCTGGCAGGTTCCTGAAAATTAAGGAATTAAGGAAGACTTTCTCGGTTTTGACAATTTATTACTGTTTCCACACACACACACCCCCCCCCCGTTTTTTCTCTGGCTGCGGGGGGGTCGCAGAGAGAGGCAGGTTCATGCAGGCACAAAGCACAAGAAAAGCTCGACGGGGCGCAAGATCTTCCCCTTCTCTCCAAATAAGGCGGCCTCCGGCGAACGCCGGCTCCATACCGGGAAGGCCCGGCCAGGTTTCCTTCCCGTTTACCGTTTCACGGGCACAACTAGCACTGAAGGCGGCGCCACCAGGACCCTTGGGCGCCAAAATCTGCCCCTTCTCCTCTTCACCTGGATTTTATTTTTCTTTAGCAAAACCGACTCGCTGCCGTTCCCCAGTACCTGACGCCAGCGGAGATGACGGCGGCGGCTCGGTGGCACCAGTGGGACTCCATACCCCGGCAGCTGCGGCCTTCGGTGTTGGCGTTTTGGGGGGTTTGGGGTTTTTTTTTCCTCTTTTTTCCTCTTTTTTCCTTTTTTCTTTTTTTTTTTTTAAAGCACCTGGTCGTACCAGCAGGGACTGGCTCTGCCGCCTCGGCCAGTGTGCTGGAGCCAGCGGCTCCCTCCAGCCATCGCCTCTCGTATTAAATGGATTTTTCCACTCTCAAATGGTCTTTTTTTTTTCTTTTTTCTTTTTTTTTTTTTCTTTTTTTCGCTAAATTGGGTCAATCCTGCCCTTTCCCAAAAGGTATTTTTTTAGCCATGTTATCCCAGGAACTCTGAACTGACCGGGGTTCGTCGCTCTTCATTCCAAAGTTTCAAGGTCTTCTTGTCCAACGGCTTCTCCAGTTTTAGGACTTGTTTTAAATTAATATTTTTCCGCTTATTTTTTGGGAGCCTGCGCCCGCCTGCCCTCCGATCTCAGCTGCCTCCTTAATTTATTGTCGCGGATCCTGGCGTCTCCCTCTCTCCGCTCGCTCCGTATTTATTGGGAAGCGAGGTACGGCTGGCAGCGACTCGTCTTCACGAGGCAGGAGCAGGGGGACAGACGCCAACTCCATCCCCCTCCTCGCCCCAAATCCCAGCAGAGCCCCGGGGGATGTCGTCTGTCCGTCCGTCCGTCCTGCAAACCCTATCCCGCCCTTTCCCACCTCCGTAGCTCTTTTTAAAGGGATTTTTAAGGCGAATTTCTTCCGTTTATCCCGTTTTTAATTCTCCGTCGCAAAGGACTGGGTTTCCTCACTCACACGGGAGCAATAGTCTTTTATCTCGATGTCCGAACCGCGTCCGTACTGTATTTTGTACCCTAAGGCAGCTCTTTCCAGTGACGTCCTGCTGTATCCACCCATCCGTCTATTTTTTGTGTTCGCGCGCCTTCAGTTCTTTGCCGCGGAGAAAAAAAATGACAAAACGCCGCCTGGAAGGCTCCGGATTGGGGGAGATGGCGGCCACTGCTCAGCCGCTGGGGGGGATGCCTGGCTCCACGGTGATGGACTTGCCAGCGTTCAGCTGCCAGGAGCCGGTTGCGAAGACGCAGGCGGTACCTCTCCTTTTATTTTTGAAGAGGATGAGATATATATATATATATATATATAAAAAAAATATATATATATTCTTTTTTTTTTTTTTTTTTTTTTTTTGGCTGAATTGCGGTAATTTAGCCTTAACCTTTCTACGCTGGGGTAACGGCGGGGTCACTGCCAGCCCGGCTTGGCTCTCAGTAGCCACCTAGGAAATACGTGGAAGAGGAAAAAAGGCAAATAATGCC